TGAGCGGCGCCGCACCCCGACCGCGGTCGGTCGGCCGGCGCCGACCGGCCGGTCAGCACGCCCGGCATGAGCGGCGCCGCACCCCCGACCGCGGCCGGCGGGTCACGCTCCGTCGAGATCACCTAGCGAGAGTGGAAGCCGTCTGGTCTGCTGCGGCACGACATGGTATCCGCCGCAGATGAACAGGGTGTCCGCCACGGATGAACAAGGTGTCTGCCACAGATGAACAGGGTGTCCGCTGCAGATGAACAGGGTGTCCGCCGCAGATGAACAGGGTGTCCGCCACAGATGAACAGGGTGTCCGTCGCAGATGAACAGTCTGGGTCGATTCGGAACGCGAAACAATGCCAACGACGAACGTTTCGGTAGGAATGTATTTTCGAGAGTTCAAGGTCTCGTCACCTGGCGCAGAATTTTTTGTGGTCGCTTTTTGTCAAGCTTTGGTGACCATTGATGCCAGAAGCTATCATACCACAGCGGGGCGGCATCTGTGAAGATATGTCCGCCCCGGTGGCTCAGTTGGTTAGAGTGCCTGAATTTCGATCCACCCACCCATGGCAGTGTGGGTTCGAGTCGCTTTGGGCGCTCGCTATTTGCCCCTGACATGTATGGCCTGCGGAGGCAGCGGTCACGCTAAAGGTCAGTTAACGTCAGGGGTAGGACGGACCGTGCCGAATATTGGGGCACGTTAAACTTTTTAAAATCTCATTTCATCAGCTGTGTTACCGGAGACCCCACCCTCGGACCACCGCCCAGCGCGCGCCGCGCCAGGGTCGGCACGCGGGGCGGGCTGGTGCCCGAGCTCTCCTGTCCGGAATCTGGGGCCGTCGCGCCGACCGTGTCGTAAACGTGGGCCGCTTCGAACGGCGCAGGCCGCCCTGATCGGCGGGCGGTACCGGCGGGCGACGAACGCAGTGATCGCTCTGCCAACCTTGCGACCGGGTCGGCACCGACACTGGCGGCCGGGCGGCCATGAACGTTGGCCAGCTCTGGCCATCAGCGGCTGGGAGCTGATCGCCGACTGACACCGTGGACCACCGGGGACGATTTCGGGCGCCGCGCGCTGGCCCGCCGCGGTACCGCCGCCCTGTCCTCGTCCACGACACTCGCGGGAGTCGCGTCCGGGTGCCATTCCGCAAAGCGTCGCGGCCAGTAATCGTAGGGTGGCAATTCTTCCTCCCCGGCGATGACGACAGGGTCTGGCCGGCGCCGCGGCGAGTAGCACGGACCATCCCCACTGACCGGGCCGGTGGCGAGGACCCGGACACGACCGTGGCGCTGATAATCACGCAGTGCGCCCGGGCGTGCGCGCGGGCGCCGCTCGCCAGACGTAGCACCCCGACCGCGGCGGGTACCTTCCTCGCCCCTGGCCGCAGTGGCTGGTAAACAACTTAATCGCCTTCGCCGCACGCGCGTGAGAGCGAGGTGCCGGGTGCGCGCAGATGCGTCATCCCCGGCCGTGCCGTGCCTGGGTCCGCCCCTGCACGGTGTCGCGTCCGCGCCGGATGCGGCGGAGCATCGGTCTCCTGGTCGCTGTGGGGTCACGGGAGGTCACGGGATGTCACGGAAGGTCACGGGTGGGAGGGTCTGGTCTGGGTCTGGAGAACGTTTGGTCTCCGAGCCGCGGGGCAGCTCTCGGGAACGGTGGTGTAGTTTTTAGTTTTGTTCGTGCGGGAGTACTTGTATTTGACATATATGGGCCGTGAGGGGGGGGGGAATAGACACTGATCCTGCCACAATAGGTTCTCTCGGAGCAAAACGTGGCGAACCAATAAAGGCCTACAACACTTGTACTATACAAACATATGCAAATTTAACTGCATATATCCCTGTTGTCACTACTGCTTGGGCCCAAATCAACAAAATATATACCGGCATCTTGAACGTCGGTATCGCTGCAACACGGAGGCCGACGACACAAATTCATCAGGTGCCATTAAGGTAAGTGCGCACCATGGCAACAAAGGTTACCACGAGTTGTGAGTGGTTCGTGGGCATCGTTCATCGCCAGGAGCTGTGAGTGGTTCGTGGGCACCGTTAGTCACATGGCCGCCGCATGGTGCAACAAAAAGTGGCGCGGCGCGGCGACGTGTGGCGCACCGGACAGCGGCCGCGCGCCCAACGGACTGCGACCGCAGCGTCGCGCGCTGTTGGGACGGCGCCGGGCCACTCGCAGCGCTCGCTGAAGCGGCCGATTGGTGGAATGGGGCGGCGAGCGGCAGGGCAGACCGTGGAGAGGGCTGGGAGACAGGCGGTGAGAAGAAGACGGTGAGACAAACTGAATATGTGGGACCGTCGGACATATCGCGAGAAATTAGTCACAGTCATGGAATTGGTGATTTGTCGAACATTGTTCGCGATGAAAATGGGACGCGCGCCTCCAAACTTCCCTTACAGCGCCGCACGCCTGATGTTATTCTATACCTTATTAAAGACCTGCTCCAAAAATAATGCACCCACGCGTCCGTTAAGATCAACTAAGGCACCTTGCATGGGCCTGATAGGCAGAACTGGGGCAGGACGGGCGGAGGATCACGGCGGCGCTTTGTGTCAGACGGCAGTAATCCCTATACACAAACACAAGTTTGGAGCTCGAACAAACCGGCGGCCACCCATCACAACGTTTCTTTTGTTAACTTAGAATAGTGCGCCACGAGAGATGGAGTCACAGCCCTGTTGACAGCCATTGCTTGAATAAAGGCGTTGCCGACAGCGGGGTGGTACTAATGCATGGGCCGATGATCTGGAAGGGAATCAAAAGGTGACCCAGGAGCGATCCAGCCCCTCTCGTCAGGAGCTGAGCCATTTCCGGCCCCCGACCGCTGACGCCGTTTGTGATAGCCAGTCACTAGGTGTCGGAGTCTGAGCCGATGAGACGTGCTTCTTTCATGACAAATTAGTGCCTGTAAAATGGCACGCCACCATTCTAAATGGCCTCCGGCACGCCCATAGATGGAAGCCACCAACGCACACTCTTGCACCCTCATAGCGCACACGACGGGCTAGTGTATGCGAACGGGCAGTCTCGAATACTGAACAAGATTCGAAATCCAGATGTGACTTAACATTTCAAGGCCGCCAATAAAAGTGGACCAGCAGCGCAGTCGCGCCTTTGGCAGCGTCACGTCACGCTTACTTGGGTACAACTGTGGTGTAAATCGGGGTGTGTGATTCCCTCGCAGCATCTACGCAGACTCCCACATTTATGCCTGCTTCAGCACCCTGGTGCCATTACATTCTGCAAGCCGTTATGGCCTCGCTTACGTGCTGACCGGCTCGTTTTTCCAGTTCGTACACTACGTACCCCTGAGAAAAAGTGTCAAGGGGCCAGAACGACAATCGTTGTCGCGCTGCTTCAAAAACTGGTCAGGTGAAAAATGAAGGGGTCGTTTGGTGACGCGGTGGGGTATCTGTATATTGTCATTTGAATTTTAATAGCACGATGATGGAGTGAACACCCTGCCTAAACGTGACACAGGTCACCACGACATCCTTTGCACGGTCAACAACCCGCATAATCGCAACGACCTGACCCACTGCCCCTGTTCCCTGCACCAACACGAAGTCGGTGTAGCTTTGTCAAGAGTTTATCTCCCGGAGTTCGCGGGCCGAGGAGACTCCACCCCTGAAGTGTGACCAAGATCAGACGCGAGCGACCACCAAAGGCCTCCAAAGCCTCGGCGATGTCCGTGTAGGAGACCCGCGAGAGGACTGCTCCGGCACGTGCAGTGAGAGCGACGCTCTAACGGTTCGCCACGGCTTTAAATGCGCCCGGGGTGTGAACCGACGCACCAAATATATACAGGAGCTCACAAACCTGTTTCGGTGACCGTGACCGCCTGCGAACAAAAAGGCGACGGGTCCAGTTCAAGCGACTCGATGGCGCGTGGCGCTCCGAGTGAGGCATAAGGTGAGGACCCTGCAGAGGAGGGATCTCCGGAGAGTTCTGTCACGCCATCCCCATGCGGCTGCACGTCGCTGGCGCAAGCGACCATTACCCCTTCCCTCGGGCCAAACCCGACACACTAGTTAACCGGAGGAATTTCGCAACAATGACTACGAAGTCACGTATGCTAATGTCATCTCCGTCCATGCCCGCGAGGCGCGCCCCCTGGCTAGCTGCCCCTGAGGCCCGTTCCCTGGCTGCTCCTGAGGCCCGCTCCCTGGCTGCTCGCGAGGCCCGCTCCCTGGCTGCCCTGAGGCCCGCTCCCTGGCTGCCCTGAGGCCCGCTCCCTGGCTGCCCCTGAGGCCCGCTCCCTGGCTGCTCGCGAGGCCCGGCCCCCGGCTGACTACCCGCACGGTAATGCAGTCTTCCACGGTGTGCGGACAGCTCAAAGCGAAACGCCCAGTCGTCAAATATGCGTGAAGCCAACTTGTAAACGTGCGCCAACCGTTGCCGAGGAAGGGCGGGTCACAGAAGCACCTTCAGAACTGCCTCGTGTGGGGGTCATGCCTCAGTAGCCACTGCAGCAGGGGAGGGGCAAACATGGCGACTTCCGGAGCAGCGGGGGCCGGCTGCGGCTTTCCGACCTTCTCCTCAGGTGACGAACGCGTCGGTGTGTAAACAATGACATCATCTTTCAGCGTTTCCGACGGTGCGTGCGTTTAGCAATTCTTGTTCGACAGGCTCAAATGGGGCGCCGTGAACAGTGGGTTGTGTCCAAAAGGAAATAACAAAGACACGCTTGAACGTCGGTTTGATGTTGGCACCTCCTCCGTAGCCAGTCAGCATGTCTTTTAGTACGCGAAACGACAATCACTTGCCGATATCTGTCCATGTCGCGGGCAGAACTGAGACTATGTACAGATCTCGCCCCTTCTAAAATCAAGGCTTGCCGAACCTGAATGGGGGGGGGGGGGGGGGTTGAGCATACTTATCTGAAGACCTCCGGAGCACGACTAGACGTCCTTCTGATCTGATCACAGAGCACAGATGGAGGTCCCTCTGATCCGAGGACTCACAGAGCACAAGTGGAAGCACTTCTGATCCGGGAACTCACCGAGCATGAGGAATGGCGCGGCCAGGTTGATGCCGATGAAGGGCAGACCGGCGTACATGAGAATGCCGAAGGCGGTGCCGGTAGCCAGAGTGGCGCTGATGACGCCCAGCAGACCCACTAGCGGCTTGGAGCGCACCCAGTCGCCCATCATGGACGTCACGATACAGAACAGCACCATGATGGCCACCGTCACCATCATGTACGGCATGATGGAGATGGTGTTGTCTTCCAGCTCGGTCTGCAGCGTTTGTGACGTAAAGCGCGCGATGTTGATGTGCTCGAAATCGTCGAGCGCCTCCTCCAGTACCCTGAGCACCTCGAACTCCCATTTGAGAGATCTGTGGAAGGCAAGCGATGGTTAATGACTCGTACGGCGCGTCGCAGTGGCGTCCAGTTAAATGTCTAGCGTCCTGTTGTCTAGTGAAACTTAATCGCTTTACACAAACACACTCATACACTGCAACAGTCACGATGGCACGCCAGGGAGCCGGGTTCACACTGTTCAGAACTGGTCCGAGAAACCCCGAGCGAATGGCGTGCTCCGACCCCAGCTTGCTACGCAGGACAACCCTTGGACCCAGAGCTGCCGACACTGCCAAGTTGCACCGCCTCCGCCCGCAGCGCGCGTCACACGCCAGCCTGCAGCCATCCAGGGCGAGGGGTGAGGCGCCAAGGCAGAGGCGGGCGCGCGTCACACGCCAGCCTGCAGCCATCCAGGGCGAGAAGTGAGGCGCCAAGGCAGAGGCAGACACGCGTCACACGCCAGCCTGCAGCCATCCAGGGCGAGGGGTGAGGCGCCAAGGCAGAGGCGGACACGCGTCACACGCCAGCCTGCAGCCATCCAGGGCGAGAAGTGAGGCGCCAAGGCAGAGGCAGACACGCGTCACACGCCAGCCTGCAGCCATCCAGGGCGAGGGGTGAGGCGCCAAGGCAGAGGCGGACACGCGTCACACGCCAGCCTGCAGCCATCCAGGGCGAGGGGTGAGGCGCCAAGGCAGAGGCGGACACGCGTCACACGCCAGCCTGCAGCCATCCAGGGCGAGAAGTGAGGCGCCAAGCAGAGGCAGACACGCGTCACACGCCAGCCTGCAGCCATCCAGGGCGAGGGGTGAGGCGCCAAGGCAGAGGCGGACGCGCGTCACACGCCAGCCTGCAGCCATCCAGGGCGAGAAGTGAGGCGCCAAGGCAGAGGCAGACACGCGTCACACGCCAGCCTGCAGCCATCCAGGGCGAGGGGTGAGGCGCCAAGGCAGAGGCGGACACGCGTCACACGCCAGCCTGCAGCCATCCAGGGCGAGGAGTGAGGCGCCAAGGCAGAGGCGGACACGCGTCACACGCCAGCCTGCAGCCATCCAGGGCGAGGAGTGAGGCGCCAAGGCAGAGGCGGGCGCGCGTCACCCGCCAGCCTGCAGCCATCCAAGGCGAGGAGTGAGGCGCCAAGGCAGAGGCGGATGGCCAGCCGAAGTCTCGAAGCATCGGTTCGAAGAATAGCTGACGTTGGTAGCTGGTTAGCCATGGCTGACTGCAATACCAATTTGTGTTCATGCCGCACTGAAGTGCTGATCATCAGCAATGTTGCCTGTTAGGATCTCGAGCCGCCCAGGCCGAGACGCAAATACCAACTGTGAATAGCCATTGGGCACAAAAGCCTCACTGAGTCGTGACCTTTGTCCTGAAACTCGTGACCCCATCGTGTTTAAACTTCAGTCACATGCGCGCAGACACTACAAACACATCTGGAATGGCCCAACACCCAAAATAACACGTCATTAACACCGACTGCCATTTTTTGTATGCGGACTCTCTCTGATCAGCCGCATCCTTCATCGGAGCCATTCATGGAATCGATCACGGTCGCGGCCGGCAGGGTCATACCCCACGCCGCGGCCGAGGCCCCTCCCGGCCCCGAGTCGTGACAAAGCGGCGCCGACGCCTGTTTTTGGCGGTGCCCGGAGCCCAAACAGGGACGGAGCACGTCCCCACGCGGCCGGACTTGCCGCCGCGCGCGCCGCCTTGACACACTATCCTCTGGCGCGCGGCGCGCCGGGTTTGACGCAACCGAGTCCGGCGGCGAAGGCGGCGCGGGAGGAGAGAGCCGGATGCCGCGCACGCGCGGCGGATTCCCGGGAGAAGGGGAGAACCGGATGCAGGCGGCTGGCGGCGGTCTGCACAGCCGTGTGAAACCGCCCACCAGCGGCGGCGGCGATCGTTCGCCGCCTGGTGGGATCCTGGTGAAACCGTGTCTAGAGGAAGCGAAGCTCCCTGATCTCGCCAATTAGCCCCCCTCGCTCTCCTCTCCCTCCCGCCAACTCCCCCCCCCCCCCCTCCCCCCAGCGCAGGGTGTGAGCGGCGGCCAGAGCCGACCGCACCGGTGGCCCCCGGGGGACAGAGGCGAGCCGGACGTAGCTGACCCGGGTCCCGGGCTCGGGTCGCGTCATCACGGTGCCTCGGTGGCGCAACTCTTGGCGCCATGTGAGGTCAGCACCGCGACGTACGGGGACGCCCGGGACGGGCCTCGCCGACCGGATGACGTGCAGTGAGACGATAAGGATCTGCCGGCTGACGAAACGGGGGAATTGTGGTCACGGGGCTGGAGGTTCTTACAACCGGTATGGGCTCCTGCTCATTGATGATGAGTGCCTGGTATTCCTCGTAGCATGCCTGTTAGATACCACACCATAGGAGCTCTTGTACATCCCGGGTAAATTTCTGACAGAATGCCGTGAGCATGGTATTGCTAATAGCCCCGCCCAACTCCGCTGATTGGGATGCAGATGCGCCTGATACACTTACACCCAGCTCGTAGGAGCACATCAAAGTACATCCAACATCCAAGGTGCAAAAGGCATCCCCGATTCAAGTTATTTGTGCTAAATGGCAGGCAGTCGGCACACAGCGCAGACATCTGTCAAACAGTTAACATCTGCTTACTGTCGCACAAAGGCCGTCGCCATTGCCAAACAGCGCAAACTTCAGTCATACCGTTCGCGCGTGGCCGAAACACTGAACGTTACACTGCTGGTGCTACCATTGATGGCGTCTCTGGACGCACAGCGATCAGGACGACCGCCACGATGCAGGCCATTTTAGCGACGCACCACTAACACGATGCAGGCCACTTTAGCGACGCACCACTAACACGATGCGGGTCACTTTAGCGACGCACCACTAGCACGATGCAGGTCACTTTAGCGACGCACCACTAAATTCAAAGACTGAATTACAATGATAGGCATTTGGTGACCATTTACATGACTTCGCATTTTGCGCGGCATTTGTAATCTGCAGCACTCAAACGGGTCATCATTTTACGACAACGAAACAAAAACACAAGTTTGTGAATGTTCACTGGAATGCACCATTCCTACAGAAAACGTTGTGAGTACCCTTTGTACGAAATTGTTACGAACTCCGCTAAAACCTAAGGTCAACGAGCTAGGACGGTCATGAAGGGAGCAGAAAGTCTTACATATTTGTTTTAGTTATGCATTTGCTGTATTTTCGTAGCCATGGTGGGGGGGGGGGGGGCACATTGGTTGTGCAGGGTGAAGCCCTAAAATTCTGAGGTCAAGGGAGTAGGGCTTGACACCACGCTTGATATTAGCTGGCCGTCGTTCTCACGGCAGGCATCCTGGTCCGGCCACGGCGCTGACGCGCCACTGAGGTTATGACCACGCGATTTTTAGCACGCAAATACCTCATGGTGAAGCGAAGCATTCGTAAGAGGAGATCAGGTCCCAGTGTTCTACCACATAAACTAACGACGATAAAGGCAGCTTCGGCGCAGCTGGTCATGTAAGGCGGTTGACGTTTAAGGAAAAATTCAGTAGCGGGCACATATCTCTTTATCGACAGGCATGTTTCTGTGCTCTTTTCACCCGACTTATGTCCGCGAGCCGTGTAATCGATACTGCATGTACTGTCCGTTGCGTTGAGAAGCGCTTCGGTCGAAACGATGGTAACGCGGTAGCGTTTGCAGCTGTTTCCTTGGCGACGCAGCCGCAGATCCGCGCTGCAGCCGGCTAAAGATCGACCGCCGCCGGTGCTCCTTATGCACGCGATCTGTGACGTGTTGTCGCTTACATAACTGTGTCGAGTGCGCGTGACGATGGAGCGTGTTCCTTGCTTGACCGCGAAAACAAAGCTGAATAGTCATCGACCGCCCAGGGCTTGAACAGAACACCCCAACGGCCCGTGCCTGCGAGTCGCCAGATGCCAGTGTACCAACTGAACCATGCGCAGTGACCTTAGGCCAGGCTGACAAGAAGCATCAGGCACAGCCCAAGTTTGTTCCCAATTCACGGGAAGTATCGCAACGCCACCACCACAGTGTCCGGAAATACTGCGGAATATCGACCACCAGATCCACAGCATACCAGTACTGCCAGGGGACCAAACCAGCCCGCGACCCTGCACGGCTCGTACCAGCGTCATCGCGAGGTGCCTGGTCGCACAGGACCCCGAGCAGCTGCGCGTCCCGCCGCCGTGCCCTTCGGCGCACCGGGGCGCGGTGCGGGCCGCGACGGATGCAGAGTGCGACAGCGGGCGGTCTGGTGACGCCGTCGGCGGTGTCGGCGGCGGCGGCGGTGTCAGCGCGCGCGGCACGCGGGGGCTCGTGCTGGCCTGGCCGGGAGCCGGCGCCCCTCTCCATGGGCCGGCTGGAAGATCGTATCAAGCCGGTGCAGTCGTGTCGCGTGCTCGGCGGTGTTGTAAAGGCGCTGTGGGGGCCGATACCGGGGGCGGGGCTGGGAGTTCGGAAGCAGCAGTTGAAGTGCCGTGGTATACTGGGGGGGGGGGGGGGGGGTATTCAACTGCAACAACGCGGGACACAGTTGGAAGCGTGTAATCACTGAAGTTCTTCTACTGCGTTGATAGGGTCGCATGCTATGCTTGCAGGGGACATGTATCTCAAAGCCATCTGCACATCACATCTGCTCAAGCAAGAGTGAACGCGATTGTGGAATTCAGCACGTATGCAGCTACCAGCCCCTGATAATTCATTTACTATCTCGGCAAAAAGGCCCTTACTATTCATACAAATAGTTGAAGGTTGTTTGCCCAACCTGTCTAAGAATTGGCACTCCTCTCAGTCCTACACCATGTGAACCACAGTGAAAATCACCAGAGCGCCTTGCAAATAGCAAGCCGCTTAGCGGCATTAGCCTTAAACCGCAGAAGCACCGAAAACATCCGGACGGATCTGGAAGACCGGAATCAGTGTTTAAACGTCATGCTCTCCCATGCGTAGCTGTATGTGGTCAGAGCTGCTGGCTTACAGCCAGCATGTAAGGCAGCCGATGTTAAAGTCAGCGATATCCCAGACTGAGGTGCCAGCCTTCCACAGCAGCTTTCAGTAATCCGCGGAAGCACAGACCGGTCTCAGCAAATCGAGTCATAGTTCGTTTTCTCTGATCTGATGCCGAGCCTCTAGCGAGGAAGGCGTTATCGACATGCTGCTGCCTCGCGCGGGGCACCGCGCCGAGCTCACGCCACACCTCGGTCATTTTCAGGACTGATACCCCAGCCGAGCCACACCACGTCACCTCGGCAACACACGCAACAAACAACCGTCCGTGGAATGTTTGGCAGCTGCTATAAAACGGGGTGCAATGGCGACTTCCATATGAAGTGGGTCGATAGGAGGCTAACGCCCCACCGTATCGCGAGGTGACGCCCACATGTGGCTGTCCGTTACTGAGCCATTTGTTCGGGCATGCCGTTGGAGGTCGCCGTTCGAAAGTGGAAAGACAAGCCAATCTCGATTCTGGGAAGTCAGGCACGATTATGCCCGCTGCCAGCGCCGACCGGACAGAGCCTCCTCGATAGCGTAGTGACGGTGACGGTGACGGTGACGACGGCAACGGCGCGCCGGCAGGTTCGAGCGCGGCCCTCACACCTCGGGACTAAGCCGCTCCCTGGCCACGCGCCACGTGTCACGAGCCACGTGCCCTGCCCCGACGTGAGCGGCCGCGCGCCAGTGGGCGACCAGGCCGGTGACGCGTGCCCGCCTCGTTGCGGTTGGCCGTGACACCACGTGACGGTTGGCCGTGACACCACGTGACGGTTGGCCGTGGCACCACGTGACGGTTGGCCGTGACACCACGTGACGGTTGGCCGTGACACCACGTGACGGCCGTGACACCACGGTTCGCACATGCGTCAAGTTTGAAGGCCATTCCTCCATCGTGTGCGCCCCAGGTACGCTGGGCTCCGTGTCACCGACATATACATGGACGAGGGGAAGTCCAGCCATCTAATGAGCTGCTTACCGGCGAAATCACCCGGTCGGTTGTATTGTTAGGGGCGTCGTAGCAAAGGGCTTTGTAACAGCAATAATTTCAAAGGGCTTTGTAACAGCAATAATTTCAAAGGGCTTTGTAACAGCAATAATTTCAAAGGGCTTTGTAACAGCAATAATTTCAAAGGGCTTTGTAACAGCAATAATTTCAAAGGGCTTTGTAACAGCAATAATTTCAAAGACGCCCCTGCAAAACACTCCGGCAAACTTCTGGCATGACGTCAACAAAAAGCTTCCGCACGGGTGCATGCACAGTGCATTTACGCTTTATGCGTAAATGTGTGTGTGAGTGCGCTTCCTGACATGCGAGGGGAGCATCACAGTGGCGATGATTAACGGCGAGGCACGGGTGCTGTCACCGCGGTCTGCGTCCATTTCTTTTACGGAGCTGTCTCTAAAAGTCGTAAACGCGCTCTTTTGGTGGTGCGCGCTTTGATAACCGAATCCGCATGAATCGACCCATGCCGAAAACTCATGGATAGTGGGTCGTAGCGTGGGTTGTGACCGGGTCGTGACTCATCATCAGTCAAGCTTCAGGCTCCACGGCTGCTGTCCGATAATGACATTGAAAGGCCATTACGATTCGGCCGGCAAGCCATTTGGAAGCTGTGCTGTTGTTGGCCCCTAACCGTGACCAACGATCCCCCATCGCATGGTTCATCACCCCCCCCCCTTCCTCTCCCACATTGGTGGGGCGGCATCATGCTCAGCGTGCCATGACCCCCCACTACGGCAGCAGACAGCAGACAGAGAGACGCCGCGTGCGGCTTCTGCCTGTCCCGCAGCGACCGTGGCAATCGTGCGCAACCGGAGCGACCGGAACTGGCGCGGCTGGAAAGCGGCGCAGATGGTGCAACGGCGGCGGTCGTGTCCGCGTGTCCGGGCTGACCGCGCCGCGGACTCCGGCTCCCCTCACGCGCCTGCCGCCGCTGCGTGGTTGACGGCCGGCCGACCATTATCTTAGGAGAAAGCTGCTGCAAGACTCGAGCACTTTCAGGGCGAGGCAGCCGGAGGATTTTTGTTTTCACTCGCGAGGTTAATGTCAGGCTTCCGCTGATATCGGGCGCTTTCGCTGATTGATAAGAATTTCTCGCATTGCAAACGATAATACCGCAAGACTCATGGTTACGCAACTCAGTGCCAAAGATAAGATGTGAAACATTCCCAGGAAAGGGTAATCACCTGTGGAACAGTGGTTACCAAAGCACTATTTTAAGAATGTGTGTCAACGGACAGGAGCGTTGTTCAATGACGCTTATCATGTTGTGAGGGCTTTATTGTAGGCACGACTGAACAATATTATGCGGCGGAAGTAAAAAACGCAGTCTGCGTACGATTCACGAGGTTCAGTGCTATAACACACATTAACGAGGTTCAGTGTTATAACACAATTAATGAGGTTCATTGTTATAACACATATTAACGAGGTTCAGTGTTATAAAATGTCCTGTCTGGCTATTCTAATTTCAGGTAGGCTGATATCACCAAAAAAGCTGGATATCTCAGCTCGATAAACGTAAGAAAGGTCTTCACGTCCTATTTTTAGCGTTATGAATTAACAGTTCTTATGCTGCATTATCCACATTCAAAATACCAGGAGATATTGGTTAAATGACGTTATAAAACAAACATCAGCTGTACTGGCAGTGGCCAATGAAGAGACAGTGCTGATAAAGTCGTTGTCAATATAAACAATCTTTGTGCTATAAAGCCGTCCATTGCCATTACCTCCTGGTGTAATAAAGGTTGATAACTCAGCATAAGAAATCTCTCAACTCGATTCAGCATATCGTTGCGTAATAACCAGATGGAGCAGCTCGAGCCGCTTGAGGTTAATACCCTCGCAGGACCGTCAGGATACGAAAACATTGCACATCGAATTCGCCAATATAAAAATACCTATTTTTACACTAGATGGCCCTCTGGGCACGTTAACCTCGGACTGGAAGCGAGGAAAGTTACTCTTCAACGCCGTACAATTTCATGGTGGCACTTCTTCACCTCACAAAGACTACTACGAAGCCGTCTGAGTCCTTACAGCACGCACCCGCCCCTTCTACCACCCTGCCTTCCAATGCCGTAGTTCACCCGCCCACTCCTCCCCTCCGCGCCGGCGCCGCGGCCCCTCCCGCAAGCGCTCCGCCACGCCGGCGGCGTCGGCCGACCGGTGCGGGCCAGCCTACCAGACCGGGCGGCGGCCGGGCGGCGGGACCTTGGGCCAGCAGCGTTGCGTCACCGAGAGGCGGTGAATGTGAGCGGCCGCCGCCGCCGCCGCCGCCGCCGCTGCTCGAACGGCCGCCGGGGGCCGCGCCGATGAAGTCGTTGGCGGCCCGTCTGCGAACGCCCGGCGAGTGCTCCTGTCCTGGCCGGCAGACGACACGGCGGCCGGGCGGTGCAACGAACCTCCGCCGCGGACCGACGCCAGCGCCCCCCAGCGGCCCAGGCGCCGTCGGCGCCGACGCACCGGCGGCGCGCGCGTGACCCTCGCAGCGCGACCGCGCCGTCGCCGCCGGCAGCGCCTGACCGAATTTTCGAGCGACCGCAGGCCATTGTTCCCAGCCCGTTGGCGGGCTCCACAGTCGGGTCGCCCCCGCCGAACCATTAGCGGAGTGGAGCGACGCCCGTTGCGATGGCATTGAGATGGCTGGCGGCTGGCGTGGCTCAGTCGGAGCTCAGCTGCCACGAGGCGCCGGCATTACTTCCGATATGGTCCGTCCCAGCGCCGAGCGGCCGAGGCAGCCCAGGTCAACGGTGTCAGCGCAGAAGCCGACTGTTTGAGAGCGCTCCGCTGCAGGCGACTCAGTGAAGACTCGACGCCAAGAAAGGAATCAATAGTCGGCTCAGATGTGTGCTCGTCTGGTACGTGTAGCCTGACGTAGGGTCCTGTCGGGCACTAGTTTGGTTCGCGTCTGGCTGTGAGTGCCGCCACGATCCAATCTGTCATGTCTGATGGCATGTCATGACGTTGAATAGCGTTGCGAATATTTTACGAAGCATGCAGCTGTCATGGTTAAAAATACTGTACCTCTTGCACCGATCGCAACACTGGAAATCCAAACACGCCAAATCATGGTGTCCGATTGTGTTGGAACGAAAGTGCATAGGGTGAAGCCCAACACATGAGCGCACAGAATCGTACGTGCAGAAACCCCATCGGACGCACGATAATCGCGACACCAGTCAGAGGGCAGGCATGACCGCGCTGCGCAGACTGTACTCACATGTTGATGTCAAAGTCCGAGTGATTGGAGCCCCAGTAGAGCAGCTGCAGCGCCGGCACCTCTCCAAGCAGGCCTTCATTGGAGACCTCTGGCGAGCCGAGGAAGGCCGGGAACACGAACACGTCGTACGAGTCGCTGAACCACACGGGGTATGTCAGGCTGATATTGCCGCTCAGCACATCGTCCAGGTAAGGCAGCAGCGTGACAATCGAGTTCTGCAAGCACTTGCCGTTCCAGCGCGCGCACAGGTCGTCGAACGTCCAGCGAGACTCGCCGCTGTCCACCGTCACGTTCGTCACCAGCCGGTCCAGTTGCACCACCTCCTCGAACACGTCACGGCGGAAGAGCGTGCCGCCGTCCTTAGCCGTCACCAACAGGCGCACGAACTTGCCGAGGTCGGTCATGCGGCCGGCGTTGAACGCGCTGAAGTTGTTGGGGAAGTACTTCTGCACTATGGCGCGCTCCTGCTTGGCGCGCCCGGTCAGCGGCGAAAAAAGGTACTCCGGGTCATCCTCGTAGTGGATGCGCTGGAACCCGGTGCCGGCGAGCGCCGTCAGAAAGAGTGGCACGATCACGAAGTAGCCGGGGCGCCGGCCGACCGCGTGGCCCAACTTCTTGAACCAGGCGGTCAGCACGCGGTCCACGATCTTGAACTTCTCGCTGCACTTCATGGCGGCGGCTGGGCGTTGCGCGGATGCCTGCCGGCACAGAGGCGGCGTTAGTGGCGTAACGGGGAGGGAACGTGGCGACGGCAGTGGCGCGGCACCAGTGAAGGTGGTGGTGGTGCAGAAGCCGTTACTCTGGCGTCGATCGGCTCGCATTTATGACCGCGATGGTGTTAAATTCATACATGGCTGCGTTCCTCAGAGGACGGGCGCTAAAACTCAACCTTGTGTTATTTTGTGGGTCATTGCTGCCGCGGAGTCCGTTCGTTCACATCAACACTTCTTCCAGTTGCCCTGCCGACCCGATTAAGCCAGACAATTTGTCTACAGCTTTTCGGATCTTCCCTTTTCCTCTCATCAAATCTCCTTCAAGGACCAGGCTTTATATGCACCTTTATTTCTGAAAGGATTGATGGTCATGACCATTGCGCGGAACTCAATCTGAAATGGCATATTCTTCGACCAAAAGCCAATCATTTCCAGCAGGACTCGGCGGCAGCACTCCTGATAGCGAACTGGATCATGACCCCGAGGCTCCACCTGCCTCGCTACCGGGGCTACCCAGCCGACAGAGCCCCGCACAGTGACGTCACGCATAAACCAAACATCTGCCGTCGCTCGCGATCCACGCGCAAACAGACGCAGGGCGCCGCGTCCAGAGTATCTGGCCACTAATCAATCGAATTTGGGGGGGGGGGGGGCTGGTAGCCAGCGGAGCATGGCGGCGTAGCGTCCAGTCTACCAAGGCTGGTCTGCCCAGCCGAGCAGACCTTCGGCTGGTTGGTCTGCCCACCCGACCGGACCTTCGGCGGGACGGCTCCGATGTCCCCGGCGGTCGGCGGACACTCCAAGGCTTGCCCACATCCGATGTGCGTGCCGCGCGTGCTAATCATCCGCGCCCGCGGGGGGGCCGCGGTGGTGCGACGGAACGCCGGCCACGCGGCGGGCTGCAGGCCCCGGCGATAAACAGCCGCGCAGTGCAGCTTAGACGGATATTTCTGCATAACAAACAATGGGCAGAGATCATCAGAATTTTAAATAAACTTACACAAAACACCCAAACGCTCTGTACTAAAATATTAATGTAAAACAAATGTATAGATGCGAGAGGGTTTGCGCGTTCTGAGTATATTTTGAAGTGATGGTCCGGTCATGGCTGCGCGCCAAGACACCCCGGATCCGCCTTGATCCGAACATCGGTGCTGGTCCGGTGTCGCCGGCACCCCACGCGTCTCTCGCGGGCGCTCGGCAAGGTCGGGGAGTTTTCTCCGAGGATACCGCCGGCCAGCCAGGCGTGACCGGACTCTGGCCAGACTGATGCGGCCGTCACTCCGGCGCTGTACGGGGAAGTGCAAGGGGGGGGGAGGGGTCTGCGAACGTCCCGAATAGGAGGAGGGAGAGGGCCAAACCAATTCTAGTGGACCCAAGCAAAGGAGGGTCAGCTCAGTTCTGAGGTGGATTCGCTTCATGCAGAAGCGTAGGGTTAATGCTGAGCTTCTACATAAGGTGGAAGGTCAAGGCCCACTACCCCCCCCCCCCCTCCTCCCCACCTCCCCCTCCAGACGCTACTCAGGTGATGTACCATTTCCCTCGTTCCCTATCTCTGACTCCGTTCCGTCCATGGAACGGGACCACGCTGGAAGGCGAACAGCATCTAGCCGCTGGCCTCGGTCCATCAACTGCTGTACGTGGCTTGGCCGGCGCGCAACGCACGCGCAGTGCGTCGCTCCGCGAGGGTAGGCTGGTGACCTGACCCTCGCCTCTGGCTGGGGTCGGCCGGGCGGTGGCCTGACCCCAGCCGTGTGACCGGGTCACCGAGTGACCGGCTGGTGTCGGCCGGCCGCTCACCCGCGGCCGGCCGGCCGGTGTCCGACTCGGGTGTGCCGGGGATAGCCCTCCGGCTGAACGACCAGTGTTTCAGTCGAACGACCTCGTTTCTGGAAACGTATTGTGCGTCGCAAGGAGAGAGCGCGCCGCAGAAGGGAAACGCGCTGGAACACGAGTTAGGCGCACGCAGCGTGTTTTTGCTGCCAAGTCTCTAATGAGCGTCGTTGTCGGCGTGCGTACTACGTCGCGGGGCGGCTACGACGGCCGGCGTTGCGTGATCATGACCATCACGCATAAACCTTTCGGCACCTCAGGTGAGGCCCAGCCCGTTACGAAGGCTGCCAGCTTGTTGCGTTATCGGAATTTTTCAACCCCGTTCATTACGGTAACTTGACCGCAAGCCACATCCAGGAATGCTATCTAGGACGGGCGGATGTGTGTAATCCGACTCCCGCAAAATTTCTCAATTCATTTTGCGTGTGGTGACATCACTGTTCGCACCATGCCAAGCGACATACGTAAGTCTAACTCACTGCGAATTTTAGAGTGCCCGCATCTATCAGTGAATGCGGCCGCAATATCTGCCTGGACTTACGTAAGTGTGGGTTATCTTAACTCTCTCTGGTGACTGTTAAAGAAGACAATGCTAGGTGGAGCGTAACGCAACCCTGAGGCTAGGTACAGTTCCGCTCTTGTCCGTGACATGCGCCACATTTGTATACCACTGATGCTCAAAACGCAAATATTTTGATTGCAGGTATGTCACATACATGAAGCCATTGTGGCGATCAAGGATCCGGGTGAGAAGAACACACAACTTTCTGCTTCAGCAGAGAATGTGAAAGCTTTTGCCGGATTTTACACTGGTCTACAAAATGTTGACGGTGGTCCACAGCCGATTTATTCCCCTTGCAGCGACAAAAGTGCATACAAATTAGGCGATCCACCACCGCCCAGTCATGCATCGACGTCGCTTGTTTTCCCTGTTATCAGCGACACGATACAGCCGCGCGCCCTCTACTTCCACCTCTACATTTTTTTTTCAATTGAGAGCCCTAATCGTCACGAAGCCTATCGCGCCGTATCGATAGGTTATTGACGCCCAGTCTGCACCATGCGCAAACTGGCCGTATTGCCTTCGCGCCTCCTGCCGTTCTGCGCGGCGATCGACGCGCCACCGCCGACATGACCGAGCTGATATATCGTCGCAAACGACGCGGTCAACAGCTTGCACGCCTCCCGACGGCCGGCGCAGCGCCAACTGACTGCGCGCCAGCTGACGGCGCCCGACAGTCAGCTGGCGCGGCCGAGAAAGTGTGTCCGGCGCCGTTTCGGAAACGGCGTCGGCGCAACGGCCGGCTGCCCACGCCGGCCAGGTATCGCCCGCGGCGCCGCTGGCCGTGTGCCGGTGTCTGGTGCAGCCGGCCAGCGCACGCGGCTGGTCACGGCATGCACAGATTGTCCACTACATGTGTACAGTTTCGGACCATGTATCCCATGGTCACAAAGTGCACACAGACCTGACATGGTGCACACATGTGAAGCCCGCTCCTCGCCGCCCTTCACCTCCAGCAAATTGATACGTGTGACGTCACCGGTACCTACGTCATGGCGGTTTCCATGCTTCGGAGCGCATTCGTTTGCGTATCATGAGCCGCCTGTGACGTCATGGGTTGCTGACTCGGATAAGTACTGTGGCAGTGAGGAACCGGCGAATGGTTTTTGGCCAGCATGCTGACCCTGCGCACACAATTGACGTCCGAAGGACGTCAGCTGTTTCCGATGCACCCCATACATTGTGACCCCCGAAAGACGCCTTGACTCTGAGCCCTTTGATTGAAGTCACGTGACGGCAGTGCGACTGAGGAGGCCAGCTGAGTGTGAGCGAGTATAAACTGAGCAGCCTCCTGCCGCTCGGGCACAATACCACACGTTCCTACGCATTTTCCCCGTAGCCTACCACCGGGCAGCGGCGTGGGGTGACAGCGGACGGGGTAGCGCATGGTCCGGCGCGCGTGGAGGGGGCGGCAGCGGGGTGGCCGGTCTGCCGAGGCTGTGCAGCGGCCTCCGGGCGCCACGGGAACGGCGGAGGTACCCCTAGGCATAAGCCACGACCCAACGGCGACGCGCGGCTGGCAGACGGTCGGCGCATCGCTGAATTTCTCCCGCTGGGGGGGGGGGGGGGGGGGTACAGGGCTCACACCGGGTACCTGGGCCTGATGCACCTGATCGCAGCCAGTGGAAAGCAAGCAACACCGGGCGACTAAAACCACTAGCTGGCAACCAGCATTGGACAGTTACGTGTAACTGGACTGTGTTCGTGCGGCGCCAGGCGTCCGGCAGGAAGCCAGGTACAAACTGTCCCGGGAGAGACGATACATCACCGACCTAACGATAAGCCGCGCGCGGTGGCGGATCGGAGTTGTGCTCAACAGCAAACGTACGGCTCCACTGCGACGGGAGAGATCGTAATTCGCCGAAGGTGTGCGTCCACGTGTTCACGTGTCGTGTTCACGAGCCGTCTCAGCATTCAGTCGTCCGTCGGCGGATGAGATCGGCACGCGGTGCCGCAGCACGTCAGGCCGACGGCGTCCTTGTGGGCCACGTGAAGAAGGCGCGCGGCGGTGGGACTCACATCCCGGCCCCGTCGCGATCAACCATTCAAGGTGCTGCCGACTGGGCCGCCTTCACCTCTGACTTCACCGAGTAGGCGCCGTATAAATCACCCAAAAAAGAGGAGGAGAATAACTTGCCCTTCGCGAACGGAACAAGGTCACGATCAGAACGACCGCTACCGCCCAGCTGGAGAGTGCCAGCTCGGGGGAAAAACTGACTAACCCACTTTTACCATGTACACGAACCGTGGCGGCTACGGCAGCCCCGGGAAAAACGAGTTCTTGGCGGCCTTGCAAGACTCTTGAGGCGCTGCGGTCGTCCGTTTTTGATCGATATGACCTGTGATTGATGGACATGTGATCTCTTGTCGTGCATTACTGTGTTATGCGTCACGTTACGGAATATTCTGTGTGCGGAAGGCATGACCGCGGCTGAATGGCTGATAGACACGGAAACCATGCTGCAGTGGGGCGCCGTGAAGTCACCAAACACGTGCCATCACTCCCTTCGTTGAGTGCAGGCTATCACGGTCGTGCTTCGCTGCGACAGCACCTGCAATTGGATTTGACGCTGCGGCCATTCGCCATCAC